TGGACTGACCTATCCCCTCCCTAACTCCCCACCTACACTCACCTTTACTGGCTCCATCCCCGCCTCTTCGACCTGTTTGTCTCCTCTCCACCTATCCTCTCCTCGATCCCTCTTCTATCCGCCTCCCACTCTCTCCCTATTTATTTCAGAACCCCCTTCCCCTCCCCCTTTTCTGAAGAAGGGTCTAGGCCCAAAACATCAGCCTTTCTGCTCCTATGATGCTGCTTGGCCTGCTGTGTTCATCCAGCCCTGCACCTTGTTGTCTCGGATTCTCCAGCATCTGCAGTTCCTACTATCTCCATAGAAACCCGAAGCAGGAGTAGACTGTTTGGCTCTTTGAGACTGCTGTGCCAGTAGGATCACAGCTGATCCTCTAACCCAATGCCTGTTGTCCCCAAATTGCCTTTAAAATCTAACACGTTATCTCTTTCTTTCTTGAGTGTATTCAATAACTTGGAGTCCACAGCCTTCTGTGATAGTGAATTACACAGGTTCACTCCCTTCTGCATGAAGAAATGTTTCCTCATCTCAGTCGTAAATGGCCTACCCCGTATCCTGAGACTGAGACCCCGGTTCTAGAGTCCCCCATCCAGGGGAAACACCACCCCCCGTGCACTTAGTCTGTCCAGCCCTGTTAGAATTTTATACATTTCAATCAGATCCCCCTCTCATCCTTTTAAACTCTAATGAGTACAAACTCAGTCACACCAATCTCTCCTCACAGGACAGTCCTCCTGTCCCCGGTTTTGGCCTCGTGAACGTCTGCCGCACTTCCTCTATGGCAAGGATACCCTCTCTTAGGTAGGGAGATCAAAACTGCACACAATACACCAGGTGTGGTCTCACCAAGGGCCTACATAACTGCAAAAAGACAGCATCAATTCCTCCCCACTCACCTCCACCCCAGGCCCCAAGAAAACTTTCCACATTAAACAGATGTTCACCTGCACATCCACTAATGTGGTCTGTTGTATCCGCTGTTCCCGATGCGGCCTCCTCTACATCAGGGAGACCAAGTGGAGGCTTGGAGACCGCTTTGTGGAACACCTATGCTCGGTTTGTGACAAATGACAACACCTCCCAGTTGTGAACCACTTCAACTCCCCCTCCTACTCCCTGGACGACATGTCCATCCTGGGCCTCCTCCAGTGTCACAACGATGCCACCTGAAAACTGGAGGAACAGCATCTCATATTCCACCTTGGAAGTCTACAACCCAATGGTCTCAATGTGGACTTTACTAGCTTCAAAATCTCCCCACCCCCAACCTCATCCCAAGACCAGCACCCACCTCATCCATGCCTCATTGACCTGTCCGTCTTCTATCCCACCTATCCGCCCCTCCCTCCTCACTGATCAACCCCCACCCCCACTTCCTACCTACACTCACCCTTACTGGCTTCATTCCCGCCTCTTTGACCTGTCCGTCTTCTCTCCCACCTATCCGCTCCACTATCCACCTTCTATCACTGCCCCCCCTACTATTTATTTCAGAGCCCCCTTCCCCTCCCCCATTTCTGAAGAAGGATCCCGACCCAAAATGTCAGCTTTCCTCCTCCTCTGATGCTGCCTGGCCTGTTGTGTTCCTCCAGCTCCGCACTGTGTTATCCCATCTGGTTCTCTGTTGTCCTTCAGGGAAGGAAATCTGCAATCCTTATGTGGTCTGGCCTACCCACAGCAATGTGGACTCTGAAATGGCCTCATGAGGTCAGTCGGGTGTGGGCAGCAGATGCTGGCCTTGGCAGTGTGCCAACATCCTGTGGAAGGATAAGAAAAGGACAGAATCATAGAATCTCTAGAGTGTGGAAGCAGGCCATTCAGCCCATCGTGTCCACACTAACCCTCTGAAGATCATCCCACCCACAACCACCCCTACATTTCTCTTGGCTAACCTACCTGAGCTGCACATCCCTGGATACTGGGGGGCAACCTAGCATGGTCAATCCACCTAACCTGCACACCTTTGGACTGTGGGAGGAAACCCGCACAAACATGCAGACTGCTGAGAGTGGAATCAAACCCAGGTCCCTGGCGTTGTGAGGCAGCAGTGCTAACTACTGAGCCACCGTGTGCTCAGAGAGAGGACAGTACAGGCTCACATACTGGTGCCATAATGTGGATGTGCTGTTCACTTGCCCTGTTCTTTTCCCAAACCTTCTCCTATGTTCCTCTTCAAACATCCATCCCCAGTGCCATTTTGAAAGTTGCAAGCAAATCTGCTCCCTTTTGGATAATGTGCACCACTGCTGAAATATCAAAGTCTCCTATATAATGTAAAGTAGCCGTCGTCCCAGAGGACCATAGAGCTGCTCTCTCATTAGAGAGAGAGAGAGAACTGGTGGTGATTTAAACTGGGGTTCACCACACCTCAGGAAAGGGGGAGAGGTTGAGTAGGAGACTCCATGGTAACCTCAGCCAGTGCAAAAATTGAACCCACGCTGTTTGGCGTTACTCTGCGTTACATATTGTAGTGAGAACAAATAGAGAGAGATTGCTCTACCACATGTCAGTGTCCATTCAGGTCTCTCACCGTAGGAGGGAACCTAACCATTCATCACAGCTCCGGTCACTCTGCTGGACTCTGGATTCAGTTCACAAGCTCAGCTTCCAGCAGCTACCATATTTTAACATTGGATCAAAGGTTGTTCTACACAACTTAACAGATGAGCACTGCAGGTAGCACTTGAACAAACATATCTCCAGACCGAACAGAGAGGGGGAGAGAGAGGGAGAGAGAGAGAGAGAGACAAGAAACCATGTTCCGTCCTGTGTGACACCTTCCTCTGCACCAATGCACACAGTCATTATCTCACCACTTCCCCTGAAACCTTGCGACCCCCACAAAAAAAAACCCTTTTGAACCCCCAATTCCAACTTCTCCCCACCCCAGTGCAACCAATGTTCACGCCATTGTTTGGAAAGTTCGGATTTGATGAGTGGGAGGAGAGGAACGGGATTAAGATTATCTTGCAAATTATTAACCACATCTGTCTGTCTCCCCCCCAGCTATCCCTTCTCTCTCCCTTTCCTATGCCGTGTTTTGTTGTGTCCTGCAGTCTGTGTTTAATATTTCATATCACATCTGCTCACGCAGTGATGACAGTTCAGTGATTCTCTTCCTGGAATTAGCACTCATAAAAACACAGGGAATAAAAACAGGAGCTGGCCGTTCAGCCCCTCAAGCCTGCTCCACCATTCTAGATCATGGCTGATCATCCACACTGACACCTTTTTCCTGCACTATCTTCATAACTCTTGATTTATTCGTATCTAGAAATCTATTCATTTCTCTCTTGAATTTATTCAATGACTGACCTTTTACAGCCATCTTCAGTCAAGAATTCCAAAGGTTCGCCACCCTGTGAGTGAAGAAATTCCTGCTCATATTAGTCCTGAATGGCCTGCCCCCTTATCCTCAGACTGTGCCCCCTTGTTCCAGACCTACAGTTAGGAGAAATAGCCTTCGTACATCTACCCTGTCAACCCCAGTAAGAATTTTGTCAGTTTCTGTGGGACCACCCCTCATTCTTAGATCAAAGAATCATAGACCTACTGCAGTGTGGAAGCTGGTCATTTGCCTTAGTTTGGTGCCATGGCTTAGTTGGTTAAAGCACTTGCCTAGTATGCAGGAGATCCTGGGTTCAAATCCCAGCTGGTGCCTCTACCTTACTTTAAAGACCCCTCATGTTGGAGCAGTGTGGTGGCTCCCTGCTGCCTCACAGCGCCAGGGACTGGGTTCGATTCCACCCTCGGGCGACTGTCTGTGTGGAGTTTGCACTTTCTCCCCGTGTCTGCATGGGTTTCCTCCCACAGTCCAAAGATGTGCAGGTTAGGTGGATTAGCCATGGGATAATGCAAGGGGAAGGTCTCGATGGGATGCTCTTCAGAGGGTCAGTGTGGATTCAATGGGCCAAATGGCCTGCTTCCAAACTGTAGCAGTTCTTTGATTCTTGTAAACTCCAGAGAATATTGGCCCAGTCTCCTTAATCTCTCATCATAGAACATAGTTCTAGTGTCCCAGGATTCAGTCTGGTTCCACTCTCTCTAGGGCAAGTCTATCTTTCCTTCAGAGCGGAGACCAGAACAGTACACAATACAGTAGGTGCAGTCTTACCAGTGTTGAAGCAAGACTTTTTTTTTAACCGCTGTACTCAAATCCTCTTGTGGACGAAGCTAACATACCATTTGCTTTGCAGTATCTGTGGAGAGAGAAACTGAGTTAGCGATTGGAGTCTGGTATGACTTGTCGTCAGAAGAATTCTGAAAAAGTCATTCTGGACTTGAAACATTAACTCTGATTCTCTCTCTGCAGATGTGCCAGACCTGCTGAATTTCCCCAGCTTTCTCTGTGTTTTGTTTCAGATTTCCAGCATACTCGGTATCTTGAATTAATACTGTTTTGTTTCCTAATTACTGCTGAACCTGCCTGTGACTCATGGATAAGGACACCCAGGTCCCCTTTGCACATCAATACTTTCCAAAAACGGTCACCGTTTAAGAAGTGTTCTGCATCCCTGTCCATCCTTCCAAAGTGGACAACCTCACACATACCCACGTTAATATTGCACGTGCCATGCTATTGCCCGTTCACTCAGCTGAGAGATCTGGGCTGCTATCCCAGAGTTCAAATCCGACCAGACTGCAGTAAGAGTCCCGACCCGAAGCGTCAACTTTCCTGCTCCCTCTGATGCTGCCTGGACCGCTGTGCTCCTCCAGCTCCACACTGTGTTCCGTCTTACAGTTCCAGTCTTGGTTGTCCATCTCTCAGGGCAAGAAGTAAGGGGCCCTTTGCCATAGTGACTCCTGACTGTTGTGGGCTTGTATTGAGGATGCACAGGGAGAGCTGAGTGTGCCTTCACATGGTGAACAGAAACTGTTTCAGCTAAACAGAGAGAGTGAGGTAGGAGTGACCATTCCCATGTACCACGCTGGCCCCTTCTCATTTCAAGAAGGTGAGGCCGTCAACCAGCATCACTGATGTCGTACTGTATTCCTCAGCATGATGGGGTTAACTATTCTCCTGCACGACAAGACCTTGTGAGAGGAGATGGGTGGGGTGATGCTGGTTGGGTCTCGAGATGGTTGGGGGAGACACTGCCATAGCCTGGGGATGGGGGAGGGGTGAGGAGTTTGAGGCAGGGCCTTGGGAGTAATGGTCTAACAGGCTGATTGCACCTAGGCCTCTGAGTCATCCCACTCCAGAGACCTAACTGTAAAAAAACACGCTGACTGAGGATCAGGAATGAAATTTTGAACAATCAGCAAAAGAAGCAAATGTTTTAAATGGACAGCCCCTTTATTTCAAAGCAGTGACCTCTAGTTCTAGGTTCTCCCACAAGAAAGCACATTCTTTCAGTATACACCCTGTTTATGTTTCAATCAATTCAGCTCTTTTTCATCTAAACCTCTGCAGGTACAAGCCTAGCCTACATAAAATAATCTACCTTCTCCTGGTACCTTCTTTCACAATAGAGCAGTGCATTGAAGGTCACAGTCAGATCAGCTGTAATCTCAATGATTTATGGAGTCAATATGTTTTGGCTCCAGACCTGGAGTGGGACTTGAACCTGAGGCCTTGCAATGCAGAAGAGAGTGCTGTCACCTGAGCCAGAACTGGCGCATGAGTTACATAAGGACTTTACAAAATATCTCAGACATGAACTCAACTAAATGCAAAGTACTGCATATTCTGGAAATCTGAAATAAAAACAGAAAGTGCTGGAGAAACTCTGCAGGTCTGGCAACATCTGTGGAGAGAGGAACAAAGTTAATATTTTGCAATAACATAAGAATTAGAAGCAGGAGTAGGCCAGTCAGCTCCTGAAGCCTGCTTCCCAATTCAATACCATCATGGCTGGTCTCATCTCAGCCTCAGCTCCATTTTCCTGCTGCCTCTCCAAAACCTTTCAACCCATCACTAATCCAATACCTGTCTATCTTCTCCTGAAGTTTATTCAAAATCTTGGCATCCACCACACTCTGGGATAGTGAATTCTACAGACTCACAAGGATAGCCAGATCCCTCTACACTGCAGCAGTCTGAAATTTCTCTCCATTTAGATAATAAATTGTCCTTCTATTCTTCCATGCAAAACGGATAACCTCACACTTATCTATGTTAAACTTCATCTATCAAATGTTGGCTCATTCACCTCACTTATCCATATCCATTGTAAATATCTTATTCCTTCATTGCAACTTACTTTCTCATCTATTTTGGTTTCAAATTTGGCAACAGTATTTTCTATCGCTGCATCCGCTCATTAATAGAGTATAAATAGTTGGGCTCTAAGGACCGAACCCTGTAGTTACATCTTGCCAACTAGGAAACAGACCAAATTATTCTGGAGATCAGAGTGTGTTAGGCAGCAGACATGGAGAGAAGGCAAGCTAACATTTCGAGTCAAATGACTCTTCATCAGAGCTCTGTCATCTAGACTCGAAACGTTAGCTTGCTGTCTCTCCATGGATACTGCCTGACCCGCTGTAATCTGCAGCATTTTTTTGTTTTCAGTACAGATTCCAGTATCTGCAGTAATTTACTCCCAATTATTCTTACCCTCTGATTTCTGTTGGTTGGCCAATCCTCTATGCAAGCTAATATATTACCCCTAATTCCATGTGATCTTATGTATAGATGACAGTA